AAGCCTAGCCTTAAAAGTAGACAGGATGTCTGCCTCACGGACTAAAACTGGTAGTTGGTTCCATGCAGCCAATTCTTGGAAAAATGTCATCAATCTTGTATCCAAATATTAGTTTATTGAGACACAAACATGAACTAAAGAAAACCTATTGCATGAGTACTTCTGTTTATATGTGTGTTTTTCCCCGGAGGGTTCATTCTGGATTGTGAAGTTTGACATAATTTTGTAGCTTTTTTTTTAATGTTGGCTTCTTGCCCTCCCTGCCATTCTATTTTTATATTTAATCTGTTAGATATTGTTTTAATATATGTGGTTATGCAATACCTACTGTAATTATAAGTTAAAGTGTAAAAAAAACACCATGAATCTGCTTCACATTGGTACTTCTTCATGTATTAAATTTAGTTTATCTATAATGCGCCATTTCCCAACACGTCATCTCAAGGCAAATTACAGAGATAATTCAACCAGACAGATACATACTGTCAGAATGGTTCAAAGTTTTTGTTATCTAAGGAAAACCAGCTGATTGCATCGACTCTTTGACTGTTCAGCAATCTCTCACACCGTTTCAACATCCTACCACTTTTTATGGTAGAACTTGTTTGTATTTAATTGTGATTTTACCACAAAAAGGAAAAGTCAGACTAAATAAGGAGCTCAACAGTAAAGGATCAGGTTTTAGGTATGGCTGCAGATTCCCAACTGGGTTTGAACTTTTACTAGGCCATTCTAAGACATGCAGTGAGTCGGGGTTGTTTTTTAGCTGCAACATAAACCTCCCCACCTTTTTCATCCTCGGTAGTCTTTGGTTCCAGGATTTCCTCTACGTTTAGCTCCATCCAGCTTTGTATTTAATCTGACTGGTTTCACTGCCTCTTCAGACGGAAACCATCCACACTCTTCATTGGTCCATTTTTACTTTCCCCAACAATTCTTCTGTAAAAGGTTGATTGGTTAAATGCATTATTAATAGTTCAACCTGGAGAGACTCACATGAATGAAAAAAGTGAGGGAGGAGATGAAAGTTCAGTTGGTAAAATGGTTGAGGAGGAGCTTATGAAGGAGATCTTGGGTGATGACTGGCTACAGAGGAGGTGCATTCAGGATGTTAATTGGCTGGAGCTTTGAGCGTGGCACATCAGCAGGTGATCCAGGTGAGGCTGGCTAGTCTTCCAGGTTACATTTTCACTTTGCTTCAATTGTCTAGTTGACATTATCTCCCACCTGAGCTGTGGATCTCTGCAGCTCCTTCAGAGTTACCATGGGGCTTTAGCTGCTTCTCTAAAAAAACAAAAAACAACCTCTGAGGGCTTTCACAGAATCGTAGGATTAAAAAAATCATACTTGGATTGTACCACTATTAGCAGGCTGGACTTTTCTGATCTAGACTTTTAGTATGTTGTAAAATGTT